TGAGGTTAATAGGTTTAGGGATCTCCACTATTACAATGCTATTAATTACTTCTGAAAAATCCTGAAGAGAGACAAGTAATTGACATTAAACAGATTCTTTAACCCCACAAAAAAAAAAAAAAAAAAAAAACATGACTAATAATAATGCAAGACTGTGTATATATGTGTATTTTTATTATTACATATTAATAAACGTAGTAAGAAAGTATATAATTTTTTACTTTAGGGGGTCTACAAAACAGATTAATCAAATTCCCATAAAATCCTATGGTAAATCGATAATCGGTTAACAAACAATTCAGACAGCAGACAAAGTCTTGGAATGGATTATGTTCGTTAACTGATCATCCACTGTATATAAAAAGAATATAACTTATACACCATATTTACTTAAATGTAAGATGCACTTTTTTCAAGTTTTAGTATCTCTGAAAATAGGATATGTCTTTGATTCAATGTAATATGTCCCAATTAGTGACCTCTAGGGCTAGTGCTTTATTTCTCAGTCACTAATTCTATTCTGTAATTTTAATGATTTATTAGACCAATATTCATAATAGCAAATTTAAGTAGTAAACTTGGCTAACTCTCATCAGTAACATCATAAGTATCTGGATGAAAATTTCAGAAAAATGTTATGAAGCACTCTTTCAAGAAATGTTGCATTTCTGATGCTTTAAGTGACACTAGGGATGATTGTGGGAAAATGAGAGCATTGAATCCAGTGTTGATTTAGAAGATACTAATATGGAAAGTGAAGCAGTTTCTGACTTCAATACTACAGAAGACAGTGATACAAAACTTACTTTACTGTGTAATAAATACTGTACAAACTTATGTTAACAGAACTGATTCTGTTGACAGAAGTTTCTTGAGTTATCTATTTAAAAAATAAAAAGCTGTCAGTGAGCATTTAGAAATTAAGATTTGTCTTAGAATCAATGGCATCTTATATTCAAGAAGAGTATATTGTTTTTCCTGGTTTATATCAATGTTGAATCCTCAAAGTGCAACTCTCAAGCATATTTAGACAGCCACTATTGATATAAGACCATAGATAAAGGTGGCCAGAGGTAGTTCAGCCATCCGTAGAAAAATTTTGAGCCACCCGTCTATTAGTAAAAATGTTTGATTATTTATATCTTTCAGATAAAACTTTTAACATCTAAATTTTTAATATTTTGTATTACATTATTTAATAGTATTATATATTACATTATATTTCAAAAAATTTTCCAGAGGCAGATCCATGGACCTTCTTTCCTTGACATACTATGTAATCTCCCAACTCCCAATAAGACCACCCTTAATATAATTGGACTAGCTACTCCCTCATCTTGATATACTGTATAAGATATTCCACTAAAAAATGAATAAAATTCTTTTTTCAAACTTATGTACATTTTTATATGACAATTCTATCATAAAATGATATATATTGGAAAAACTATATAAATTAATATAAATGATTGTTGACTTAATCTATCTATGGTAAAATATGGGTCATTCAAAAATTTACAGGACCCCAATAGTTTTATGTTACAGCATTGAAGACAAATAATAAAATTTCATTATAAAATCATTCAAGTCAACTTTATTGGCAAGACTATGTCTTGTTTATAAAATCGTACTGCCTCATGTTCTTATCAGCATAGAGGTGTGAAGGAGTACATGTAGAGTTGATATTTGGCACAGAGTATTAGGTGCCAAATCATTTACGCATAAAAAAATCCAGACTCGTAGGTAGTCAGGGAACCTAGAATCGAGTCAAAATAAAATCCAAAATGGCAATCCTCTTCTACAAACAGGCAAAACAGCCACCTCACCCCACCAAAGTCAGGTAGGGGAGAGTACCACCCACAGTCATTCTAAGAAGTAAACTCTGACCTTAGGACTGAGGGTACCTGCGTGTGACCTTCGCCTTTTGACCTCACTTTGCTCCTAAACTCTAACGAGGAGAGACATCTTTTTACTACCTTTCAATTCGACAGCCATGCTGATCTTGGATTTATATTATATATCGACTGCTGTTGTAAATATCACTCTGCCAATACAAATTAAGTAAATTATCAGTTTTTTAGTAAATTTTTAACGACAGAACAAAAGAGACAGAACACATGGTCGAGGTCAATGTGGACATCAGGGACAAGGTAGGAGAGACATTTTTTCACTTCACGTTAATTGACCTTTCGAGTCGACAGCCGTGCGATCTTGGATTTATATTATATATCGACATTATTGTAAATATCACACTGCCGATACAAATTAAGTAAATTATCAGTTTCTTAGTAAATTTTTACCGACAACATTCACCAAAAATGGCTCGTGGACGACCTCATGGTTGAGGCAGGTGAAGTTTTAACGATTGCGCCCAAAAGCAGCGATATCAAAAAAGATAGGAAAACGAGAATGAGACCTGCCTTGAGCATCAAAGTGATTCCATCTCTGAGACATAGTCTTGTCCCAAATACGGTTTTGCCATTTTACTTGTTTAAAATATCAATTGACTTTAAAATATGTATANCACTAAAAAATGAATAAAATTCTTTTTTCAAACTTATGTACATTTTTATATGACAATTCTATCATAAAATGATATATATTGGAAAAACTATATAAATTATTATAAATGATTGTTGACTTAATCTATCTATGGTAAAATATGGGTCATTCAAAAATTTACAGGAGTCCAATAGTTTTATGTTACAGCATTGAAGACAAATAATAAAATTTCATTATAAAATCATTCAAGTCAACTTTATTGACAAGACTATGTCTTGTTTATAAAATCGTACTGCCTCATGTTCTTATCAGCATAGAGGTATGAAGAAGTACATGTAGAGTTGATATTTGGCACAGAGTATTAGGTGTCAAATCATTTACGCATAAAAAAATCCAGACTCGTAGGTAGTCAGGGGACCGAGAATCAAGTCAAAATAAAATCCAAAATGGCAATCCTCTTCTACAAACAGGCAAAACAGCCACCTCACCCCACCAAAGTCAGGTAGGGGAGAGTACCACCCGCAGTCATTCTAAGAAGTGAACTCTGACCTTAGGACTGAGGGTACCTGCGTGTGACCTTCGCCCTTTGACCTCACTTTGCTCCTAAACTCTAACGAGGAGAGACATCTTTTTTACTACCTTTTGATTTGACAGCCGTGCTGATCTTGGATTTATATTATATATTGACGCTGTCGTAAATATCACTCTGCTGATACAAATTAAGTAATTATCAGTTTTTTAGTAAATTTTTAACGACAGAACAAAAGAGACAGAACACATGGTCGAGGTCAACGTGGACATTAGGGACAAGGTAAGAGAGACATTTGTTCACATCACGTTAATTGACCTTTCGAGTTGACAGCCGTGAGATCTTGGATTTATATTATATATTGATGCTATTGTAAATATCATGCTGCCGATACAAATTAAGTATATCATCAGTTTCTTAGTAAATTTTTACCGACAACATTCACCAAAAATGGCTCGTGGACAACCTCGTGGTTAAGGCAGGCGAAGTTTTAATGATCGCGCCCAAAAGCAGCAATATCAAAGAAGATAGGAGAATGAGAATGAGACCTGCCTTGAGCATCAAAGTGATTCCATCTCTGAGACATAGTCTTATCCCAAATACGGTTTTGCCATTTTACTTGTTTAAAATATCAATTGACTTTAAAATATGCATAAATCCTCTATTTAATGCTAAATGACAAAATTGAAAAACTATAAATAATAAATTTTATATACCATAGAATCTAATATCTAAAATATTGATTAATCTATATGTTTATAGAATCTGCCTCTTAATATGCTTATGGATTAAACAGTAACTTGAGGTTGTCTTAAAAGGATTCCAAATTTTTTTGTTAATTTGTTCATTTCTTAAAGGTTATAATCACTGTATTAATGAGTAAGTTGTAAAATATATATATATAAAGCATTTATTTTTTTATTTTATATACAAAAATATCAACACATTATCTATTAATGTGTTGATATGAATGAAATAAACTAAATTTAAGCAGATTTATAGTCCAAAACATTTGTTTCCTGTATGTATTAAGTCCTGAAATATTTCAAAAAAACTTCTAATTAAATTAATAATAATAATAATAAATTTGATAAAGTAAATGCTTATTTTCTAGCAGCAACATGAAAAAATTGTTCTCATAATTATAAGTATCACTTCAACTATACCACATAGGGATACGAATAGTTGTTCTACTTAAACCTCTCCAATTTCTAAATCCACCACTACAATTTTCATTACAGATATAAGTTTCCAATAAAAGACAGAATCGAAAGATATATTTCAAATTCAAATATATTTTTTAAGGTTCAGCAAAAAATTGCTATTAATATTTTAATTTAGTTAGTTATTTGAGATAACTATTTTGTTAGATACATAAATGTTTATTTTCTCCAATATATCCCTTAACTAAACAGCATAGATTATAAATAATTGTTACGAATATTGCATTTACATTTAAAGCTACTAACACCACCAATACTATAACATACCAAAAATCACGAAAAAGACATTATTAGAAATGATGAAATACATATGGAAATATTATTATTTTTTAAATAAATCATAACCCAACATTTTCATCTAATAAAGAAAAAAAAAAAAAAAGGAAAAAGTATTCTATGCCAAATACAGTATACACAGTGCATTCTAATTTATTTGATATAATATATTTGTTCCATAGCACATTATCCCATGGGCAAAAAAGTTAATTGTTTGGCCTCCACCTATAGGAAAACCCAAACCAATATTTAATAAAATATTTTCCCCAAAAAACATTCCTCCGAAGAGAAATGTCTGAAGTCATCACCGTACACGGGGAGCCCCTAATACAAATTTGCCCTGGCATCCACGAAGTTATAACACGCCACCGTATTTATGCACAAGCTTAAAATAATGCCAATAATATTGTTATTCTTAAATAATAATATAAATAACTAAAAAATAATATACAAAAAAAATTATCACTTACAATTTCATCACATTTATTGTTAGTGTGTGAATTTTCTAATCAGAAACCTGTAATATAATGTAATATATGAATTTCTTCAAAAAAAGTATTTATTTGGTAATCAATATTTTAATGTAGACACTATATTTAAAATTATACATAAGTATTGAAGTAAATTTCAATGTGTAAAGCATAACATTAGCAAATAAAGTTACATAATCTATACAGATAAACTATATTTGCACGTGTGATCAATAAATATTCAATAATCGATTAATTTATTAATAGAAAAGTATCATTAAAATATAATTCATGGATAATTACATTAGATTTATTAATGATTAATCTCTTTAATATAATTCATGGATAATTACATTAGATTTATTAATGATTAATCTCTTTATAATAAAGATTTTAATAATGCAATTAAATTTCAAAGCTAATGATTTATNAGTAAATTTCAATGTGTAAAGCATAACATTAGCAAATAAAGTTACATAATCTATACAGATAAACTATATTTGCACGTGTGATCAATAAATATTCAATAATCGATTAATTTATTAATAGAAAAGTATCATTAAAATATAATTCATGGATAATTACATTAGATTTATTAATGATTAATCTCTTTATAATAAAGATTTTAATAATGCAATTAAATTTCAAAGCTAATGATTTATGTGCATTTTCGTGGAGTAACTCAGTCTCCTTCTCCTTCGTCTGTTAATAAGAAAGTGATGAATTAAAACTCCTCTACTCACCAGTCCTCATACTCATAACCGGAATCACCTGATTTTCATCTTGACATAATTGATAAGGAAACACCTAGCGGATAAAATTTTTGAAATATTTTATTTATTTTATTTTCTTTTTTAAAATTATTAATAAAATCGCTTTTATTAATAACTTTTTAATAATTTTATTTATTAATAATTATTTAAAATTTTATATTTTAATTATTTAACGATTATTTTTATAATAGTATTTTAAGTCACAAAATATAGAAAATCGTTACCTTTAATTTTCTCCTATTCGAAGATATTAATACTCTTTCTGCCCTGTGGGCACTTAGAGGGTCTTTTAAATATAAAAGACATCAAACCCATCGAAGATTTTGACCGCCGAATAGCCGAGTGGTCAAGATGGCAACATACCTCTCTGGGGAACACGCATGGAATACCGGACGGGTGAAAAATCCCCAGGAATTTTTCGGGGATAGTCCCGATATGTCAACCCCCGTTCCTCACCACCTGGTCTCCCCATTGTAAGCCTGGCCGAACCCATAGAACCCATAATGGGCTTGCTAAAGAGGCCTTCTTAGTTCCCACAGGGCGGACAAAATTTTAAAAAAATCCATCTTGGATTCGGCTGAGCCGACAATGGGAAAGCCAACCTTCCCATTGTGAACCCAGTTCTTGAAAACTTTTTTGACCGAACAGGATTCGGTCCCATAAAGTGGTAAGCTAATATTTTAACTGCTCGGTTATCCAGTCTCTTTTCGAATACTAAGAGACATATTTTTCATATTTATTACAGATTTGGCTAAGCTTATCAACTCCCGAAGAGTTGATTCTGCAAATTTTTCATTCTACAAGTAAAAAGTGTAGAGATTTGATATTATTTAATCTTCAATCTGTTTTAATATTTGCATAACTCAATAGTTGATCATCTTGTCCATTAAATACGAGAAGAATAGGCCTTAACTTATAAGCCCGTGTATTTAAAAATTTTTTCACCGGGAGTCTCCCGGAGGGTCCAGAAAAGTTGGCAAGATTTGATTAGTCCACAATAGGTTTCTTACCGCCAATGTATCAGGCACATTAGTGAGAATCGAGACCCAAATATTCTAGGTGTCGTCCTTCATTATGGAAATTTCTAAACCGATTGAAATTCGAATCTGATTATCTCGGCCACACTGACCGCTATGGTTGCTATGAATAAAAAAAAAATAGTTACCATATTAGACAATGGAAGCAAGCACTTTGCACCGTACACGATACATACACTACAATGCTATAGACACATCAGTTATACAGTAGTATCTCTTACTTCGAATGCTTCAGAGTTCGAAAGCTAATTTGCCAAAAATTCGCTTCGGAGTTCGATGTTTCAAATTCAAATTGCACGCGAAGCGAAAAAAATGCTCTCGAAACGTAAACACAATCTGTTGTGAGCTCTTGCGTAACGCAAGAGCTCACAACAGATTGTGTTTACGTTTCGATTGTGTTTATTTGTTACTCTCGTATATTTTCAGTACTGTATTTATTTCGTTTTAATTTTCGTGTGTTTGGTTATATATATTGAGTTATTCGTCGACTTTTAACAATTTCTTCCTACAGTTTTCTTCGTCCACAGTTTTTTGTTGCCCTTTATATTTTACATCGTTTAGTTCAAAATTTCCCGAACGGAACTTTCAAACCACATCGAAGACATTTCAACTTGATTTTATTCAAACAAAACGTGAAATAAAAAGTTTAATATAAGCTTCTAAACAAGGCACACAGTCTCACATTAGTAATAATGTGTTAAATTTCACACTGTTATAATTATATCACACATCTACGTTATGTAAAGACAGCGTTAAAAATACACGAACACTTTCTGTTCAACCAAATATATAACCTTTACTTATCAACCATGGCATACGAGATGCATGATTAAGCAACGAAGTCTAAGAGAAAGCTTGTAATATCGACAATTGAGATAAAAAAGGAACTTATCGCGAAGCACCAAACCAAATCTGCCAGACATGTATTGCGGTTCTGGTGGCCATGTTTAAGATGCCGAAGTCGATGGTGTGCGACCAGCAAATGTAATTTTTATTTTATTTATTGTTTTCGTGTTTTAATTTATTGTTGGGGCATTCAATTGTGTTATGTGTAAAAATATGTGTATTTTCTGATTAATTAATTGAAATGAGTATTGTTTAGAGCAGTTGTTCTCTACCTTTGTAAGGCGGCGGAACACCATTCATATACGTTTTATTGCACGGAGCATTAGCATCAATATATTCAAAAATCGATAAGCAATTCCAAGCAATGTTTACTATTCTCAGGAAACAATGAAGCAATAAGCTAATAAACTTTAATATATTGAATAAAATAAAAACATGGAATTGTCTACGAATATAGCAATGGGAATAAATTTGAATAAAAACTTTAAAATCTTTTCTTTCGTGAAAGACTTGAGGTAAGTTTGCGGAACATTGGCTAAGAACGACTGGTTTAAAGCCTGTGAATTGATTAGTTCCCTTTCCATTCTTTCTAATGGTAAAAAAAATGATTCGGACTTCAAACGATTCAGAGTTCGAACGACCTGAAATGAATTAAATTCGAAGTACAAGGCACCATTGAAATTAATGCAATATGTATAGTCCTATTGCATTACCACTTTAATAAGAGTTCTTTCATTTATCATCAAGATAATGATCCAAAATGTACATCCAGGAGGGTAATGTCATGGCTTCAGGATCAAAATACTAATCCGCTTGAGTGTCCGCCTCAATTGCCTGATCTCAACCCGATTGAACACATCTGGTTCCTTCTTAAACGTCGTTTGTTTGACTATGCAGCTCCGTCTTAAAGCATCCACCAATTATGGGAACGTGTACAGGATGAGTGAAACAAAATATTGCACGACTGCAGGAATATTATTAATTCTATGCCCAATAGCATTAGGAAGATTTTAAAGGCCAAAGGAGGATGTACTAATCGCATACAAACAATTGACCAATGCGTATCTAGGAGCAAAACTGCTTCTAGTTTTTCTTTTTTCCGTAAGTTGACTGACTACAGTGATTTGTAATTAAGTTTGTTACGTTTTTATTTTTATTTTTATTTTCTTGTTTCTTCGTTACTTCAAAAATTGAATTGTGTATTTATTAACTTATCACTAGAATTTCTAAATCTTAAAAAAAAGAGAAAAAAATGATGTTTAAATAGAATATAATAAGCGTTTAAAACTTCGAATCTAATTTACCTTAATATCTTAGTAGCATGATAGCTTCATTATATTTACCTTTTAAACTATTTATTTAGATATAGTAATTAGAGGTGGGTAGTTCCGGAATTGGAACTAGTAGGAACAGTTCCACACAGTGCCATAACTAGGCAGGTGCAGCAGGTGCACCCTGCATCCGCACAGGGTCCACTTGGAAGGGGTCTCAAAATGCATGTATTTGTTTTATTATTTTCCCGAACCTAAATAATTAAGGGGACTAAATGCAAATTCTTGCACATGGCACAGGAATGGCTAGTTAAGGCACTGGTTCCAAACAGTGTCGAAACGATTCCAATTCCGGACCTACTAGTCCGCTCTTTATTTTTTATCTATTCTTTATCTATGTACTTTTATGTTTACGAGCATTAAAAACAGCATAAATAGATGATTTCCTAGGACATATCTACTTTTTAACAAAGTTCTGCGCCTTTTTATCATATTGTAAGGAATAAACGGATTAACCATTCGGGAAAGCATTTCTCGGTAGCTTATTTAACCATTCGGTTGTGTTTGAGTTTCTGAACAGCACCAAGAGATTTACATTGACACGTTTCTACTTAATAACACCCACAGAAATATTATATGAATAGCTTTTTATGGGTACCCATGAATAGATTCACAAAGTCTTGATTTTTAGCCGAAATTCTATAACTTAGTCCGATTCTCCCCCGACCGATTCGAGTTAACCAGGGCGTGCGCTGCTGCGTGTAAGCATTCAAGAACGACAGTAAAAGAAAAAAGATGGCTGCGCCCATAACCATCGATAGTATCGTAATGGCAGAATCTATATATAAATATATATTTTTTTGTTTTTGTATTTGCTAGAGCAAAGTTATAAATTCAGAAAATAATAAAACAATATGTCCATAAATTAAACTATTAGTTATGAAAAAAACTAATGATATTATTATCATTATTGCTTTTTTTGGATGATTAGAGAGGTTGCGGCCGACGTTTTCAACGCGAAAACGTGTACGTCGGACGTTCAGCGCCGCTTTCCTAAAGACCCAGAAGTTTGGCAATGATGTTTGGAATGTCGAGCATGATTCCACTGACTATCCAAACACCATTGTCAAACTTCTAGGCTTATAGGAAAACGGCGCTGAACGTCTGACGTACACGTTTTCGCGTTGAAAACGTCGGCCGCAACCTCTCTATTGATTAAATCAAGAATTTTATTTTATAACGAGTAAAATTTTTGATTTATGGGAAATAAATTAATTTAATTATTTTAAAAAAACGAGTATTATAGAATAAATGGGCTGCAATTTGAAAAAAACTTATATATATACTGTATATATAAACCATTGTCGTGTCACGTCTGTAACAGTATGCCTAAAACGCCCACTAGGGTCGCCCTAGCGATCATTTTAAATTAACAATAAATTATTTTTATTCGTAATAGGAATTTATTATTGATATGAATTTATTATTTATACCACGGAATAGTATAAATAATTATTATATGCCTTGATTAATCTTGCGCCGCATGTTTACAACATCCCATAACTTAGTGAACGTCGCGCATTGACTCACGGGAAATTTGTTGAAGAAAATGGCGGATACATTTAAAATCGAGGTTTACAAGCGAAGGTAAATAANCGGAATAGTATAAATAATTATTATATGCCTTGATTAATCTTGCGCCGCATGTTTACAACATCCCGTAACTTAGTGAACGTCGCGCATTGACTCACGGGAAATTTGTTGAAGAAAATGGCGGATACATTTAAAATCGAGGTTTACAAGCGAAGGTAAATAAACAAATTAAACTATTTTAAAGTTTTATAGAATGTTTAATAAGTAGAAATCTAGATCCGTATTATGCGATTGGGACTTTAACAGAGCTGTAGAGCATATTGATAGGAAGAAAAAAGTCAAAGGAACCGTGTCTCATGGGAATTTGGGTTAGATTTACCTTAGGTAGCCAAAATGGCGGCTCGTTTCTGATTCCAGCAAACAAAAGAAAGGAAACAGTGGGGACGAACGTTCTAAATTAACCTAACCTATTCTAATAATTTGGTTGGTAATAATAATGGTAATTTATTAGAATAGGTTAGGTTAGGTTAGAACGTGCGTCCCCACTGTTTCCTTTCTTTTGTTTGCTGGAATCAGAAACGAGCCGCCATTTTGGCTACCTAAGGTAAATCTAACCCAAATTCCCATGAGACACGGTTCCTTTGACTTTTTTCTTCCTATCAATATGCTCTACAGCTCTGTTAAAGTCCCAATCGCATAATACGGATCTAGATTTCTACTTATTAAACATTCTATAAAACTTTAAAATAGTTTAATTTGTTTATTTACCTTCGCTTGTAAACCTCGATTTTAAATGTATCCGCCATTTTCTTCAACAAATTTCCCGTGAGTCAATGCGCGACGTTCACTAAGTTACGGGATGTTGTAAACATGCGGCGCAAGATTAATCAAGGCATATAATAATTATTTATACTATTCCGTGGTATAAATAATAAATTCATATCAATAATAAATTCCTATTACGAATAAAAATNCCGAAATTCCATAGGTGGTTATCTATATAATAATTTCCCTAATTGTATTAATATTTTAAACCGTTTGATTTTTTGTATGTTTTTTAATTGGTTGATGATTGATTCTATCAACTAATTTGTCGATTGTTTGATTGTATTAACTTGATTCTTTAGATATCGAAAATTAAATAAAGAACAATATGTTAATTTAAGCGTACAGAAACGTTGCTGTTGTTCCAGCAAAGATCTTATTTTCACTTTACCGAGTGCCTAGTAGGTAATTTGCAGATTAGCTAGGTAATGTACAGTACACATTAACGACTTTCGAGCTTTAGCGGTAACATATATATAAATTTTCACTGTCTTTCCTTAATTTTGACAACGGAGTTAGATAGATGAAAGACGGGACCAGACATGGAAACCTTATATAACTATATATAAGGTATAAGTTAATATATAACTATATTAACTATATATAAACTTCCAGAAGTCACGTTGTTTCAATTCAAAACTTCCCCTGGATGGTGTTAGATGACAAGCACGACTCTTTTGTTAAAGGAAAAGTATGATGTACAGGGGCAAGCCACTACTAATTTAAGGTGGAGAGTATATATTTTAAATTAAATAAATTAAAAATATGATTAAAATTGCAGCCCAGCATTGTGACAATATCAATAAATAATTACTTGTTTTATCTCCATTTTTATTATTTTTAGAATAAGTAGGAGATTGCGATAAAAGTTAAGTTTAATTCAAAGATTAAATCAAATTTTTCGAAAATTTTTTATCCATATTATCGTATTAAGTGTACAGAATTATACAGAGAAATTTAATTAAAGAATGATATCAAATGATTTTCAATTGAGTACACGAAATGAAATAAAAACTAATTTTTCAAGCAATTTTGAAATTTTAAAAGTGGAAAAAAAAGACCATAAAGTTTATTCCTCAGGTTATCTATAAAGAAATTAATTAAAGACAAAGTACAGTATAAAATTTTGAAATATGTATTATTGTAATGGCATCAATTAAATCGATACAACTCGGTCAACACATATAAATTCACAAAAAAAAATTATTGAGGTTAAAACCGCCTTCCGACAATTTTACTAATGCTTTTTGACTCCATTAAAAATGATAATGCCATTCATCATTTTGGTAATTGTATAAAAGACGATGATATTAGGCTAGAAAATTTTGATATTCCGAAGTTATTCACACCTTTCTGATGTTTAATTTATCGTTCTTTTCACTTTCAAAATTAAGATACGGTTTGTAAGCAATATTCTGTTTTAGAAAGTGATATAATCTTGTTAAAAGGTTGTATTATTATTAAATACGATAAGTCGGATTAACGAGGCGGTTAAGGCATCAGCTTACTGCTCTTACTCAGGAACTCTGGTTCGAATCCGAGCAGTTTTTAAGCCCCAGGAATTTTTGGAAGATTGGTCTGTCCCGAATAAGTTTGCCTCGTCCTTCATTGGCACATTTTGGACTTTGCCATAAATATGATATGGATCTCAATATTAACAGGGTAGAAATTAAAACATAAAAAAATTTACAATACAGGACTTGAATGTCTTTCCTAAACATGACAGCATTTAATTCAAAATGCACTCTAAGTACAAATGTAATAAGTATACATTATAATATATAAATATATAATTATAAATGAACAGTAAAGTTCATTTATAATTATATTACCCAATGGCTTTGGGGTACCAACATTATAAAAAAGTAATAGTCTTAAATAGGACCCGAGATTAGAAACACTGGTGGAAGCAATATTACGACATGCTCCTTTTGAAAAATCTATAAAAATCTTAAAAATTTTAAATAAAAAACTGATCGGGGCTGAAAATCAAACTTGCCTACGGTGCTATACATCCTCTAGCCGGCATTGATTTGAGTATATGTATATATATAATATATTATCTGTTTGTCTGTCTGTTACTCGTATACTTCTTTGACTGACTAAACCAAAATTTTCAGAGTTACTCTCTTGGGAGTGCAGAAAATATGAGTTATCATGAAAACCGGATACCCCACCCTTTCTCTGATTTCATCCCTTTGATGCTGTGATAGTAATTCATGCATTATTGTTTACATAAGTATTGCTTAATAATTAATGAAAGTGTCACACGGTTCGTAAATCATATGATTTTTGAAGTAAAGGCAGGAGTCGCAAACTGGCGGCCGACAGACCGGAGACGGTTCGTTAATGCTTTATATCCGACCCGACACCTTGACGATTTCTTTTCTAAAAATCAATGTTTATAGCATCTTGTAGGAATTAAAACAGAGCAAGTGCAAACAGTGTAAATTTTATAGCAAGTGAAAAGAGTTTCACTTGCTATAAAATTATGAAATAAAATGTAAGATATGCTATTATTTGTACTTATCTGGTATAATACTGATCTATTATTCAATAAAATTGATATGTGAAATGAATTGACAATGGCTGTCACTACATTATAATTAGAAGAAAAAAAAAATTAATACTTTCTAAGTGTTAATCTTTCAGTAATAAGCTGCACATTATTGATGATATGATTAGATTGCATAGAGTAGTCCAAAATTATTGAACAAATTAAATTAATATAATTTAGAATCGAAAAATAAATATATAATATAAAGAGGCATTTTCTTATATGAGATTTCTCTATGTTAAAAAAAAAAACATTAATCGAATTACACAATCAAAAAATGTGCAGTTTTGACTTTTTCAAAGAAAAATCCATTAAATTCTTATATTTCAACTCGCTATTTATCGTATACTTTCAGATATAATCACAAAATTTTCAGTGATTTCATCTGAATTACGAAAGCTCAAAGAAGAGAACATTTTCCCACATTTTGTATACTTATTTTAAGAATTATCTTGTATCAACTAATATCGTTTTTATTGAATTATCCTATAAATAAATATGATTTAATATATTATTAATACTTTGGTACGAGGCATTAAATAACATTTTCCTAAACTGTATAAATGAATGTCGATTTTTTGTTATATAATTACTAAACATATTTATAAATTTTTATTGTTTTTTTTTTTTAATAAATATGATTTATAAAAATTTCTCTTCTCCAATTATTAACGCTTACTATCATCTTGAGATTCTTTAAATATCAATGGTAATTACTACGAAAGATTATATATATATAATTCAGGTCTGTCAGGCTATCTATTCATATTAATAATTCAGATCTATCAAGCATAAATGTTTCAATTATCTGTAGTTATATAATGATAAAGTTTCACGAAAATTGCTTTAAGAAATATATTGATACGTTTGTTATATTGAAAGTAAATCAATAGTTCTTATTCTTATCAGAAAACCAGGCATTCTGAAACCTCTCTTTTTTATTTAATTAGATAAATTTAATTTATATGATAATTTCTGAATATCTTGATATCCTGATATCCGATAACGAATATCTTGATAATTTCTCTACTTTAATTAATTAATTAAAATTTTTTTTCATTATTTATTCACCGAATAATTAATTAAAGCGATTAACGAATTTTTTTAAGTTTATTTTTTAATTTTCAAACAGTATTTTCAATTATTTATACAGTAGAGCGTCGATTATCCGAAAGTCAATCATCCGAAATAATGTCAATCATCCGAAAGAATTCCAGTCGGCAAATTTAAATTTTCGCCTGTGCTGTGGCGCTGCAATCTTTGGCTATGTCTTGGGCTACTCAAATATTTTACATTTCTGATACTAAATTAACTTCTGAAGTATAATTTTTTATCCTTTTTATATTTTTCAATATATTTGTTCGTACAAAATAAAAAAATAATTTTTAACAATACAATAGTCTTCGTTAGGCTTAACATCGACGAAAATTCAACGCAAAGCGACACGCAACGGAGAAAAATTTCNAATTATTTTATATTTTTAAATAGAATTTTATGAAATATGTTATGTAATTTCATTAGAATTTATAGAAATTTAATCTAGAGAAAAGGAACCATTCATTAATTACGTGTATAGTTTTGAGTTGTTTACAATGGTGTATTTTTGGCAAACCTTTTCCACTTTAATTATGTGTACAAGAGTTCGTGGACCCTCTAAATTAAAGAAACGGCTTTAAATACGTCACGTAGCAATAAGCAACCTTAAAAAACAAATTTATACGTCCCTAAATACAAAAAAATGTCCATGTAAATTATAAACAATGCCTCGAAACTCTTCCTTTCCTAGCGTGTAAAATGACGTACAGTACTTTTCGTAATTCTCCTCCCTCCTTTAAATTGTACACGTAATTAATGGGAAGCCCAAAAATTTAATTAAATAATATAGAAATGTTGGCTATATATTAATACTTAAACTATTTACAAATGTAAATAAAGAGAATTTTTCAGTCGAATCTGATGGAAGGTAATTAAGACTTCAATAATAATACTGTTTTTCAAGTAAATTATTTTATTGATATTAACTAATTATTATAAATAATATAACTTTTAATTATTATTATTATTTTTTCTTAAGTTATAAGAATATATCCTTTGGATAAGTTTAATAAATCGAACTTAAATGTTTTGTATGGTATTCACTCGATTTTATAACATTAATAGCTATTATTTCTGTTATCATTAGTTATAAATCTTATAGCTAATTTTACCATTGGCATCGGTTACATTTTGGCACTTCACCAGCTTAATTTTTTCTGCAGAACGGAATATTTGATAATATTTAATCAGCGAGAGATTTTGATTCTTTTTAGTAATTAGCCATATCCCATTTTAATCCTATTTTTTTTTAATTCTCACCAAATAGTATGCTTTTAATAGGACATACAAAATGGGATAATTTAAATTTCAATGAATATAGCACCTTGAATTTTATATTACCCTACGCGTAATAAATGCATAATTTAATAATAAATTTAAGATATTTCGTATACCACAGGAGTAATTACCACATTATCCCTCCCTGAATCCGCCGTCGGATCTCCTTTATGGCTTTACGTGATGCTTTATCTTGGCACATGGATCCGTTTTTCATTCTTCTGATATCATTTTAATAAAACATGGTATAGTCAACACGATATGATATCCTTATTATTATATTTTAATCAAATCTGTATTCTGGTATATATTTACAAATTACGTTTCGGGTACCGAAGTTCCTTCTTCTTTTTGAATTTCACTAGTGTTAGGCACATTATTGTTCGTCGTTTCGACATTTGAATCAGTTTCTTTTTCACTTTTAGATTTTCGAAGACAAGACTTTAATGTAGTGGCACTTTGAGCTCCCGATCTTGCGACAAAAGGATCGTCGGTCATCCATCCACTAGGTCTATAATTTGACCAGTTAATAAGTAAATCGTCCGAAGGTCCTATGGCGTTTTTTAGTGGCCTTAATTCTTTTAACCAACGGCAACAAGACGTATTCAATAAATTTCGGCAGTACAATAATCTCAGTGCACAGAAAAGTACTCCGATACCGATGAACGATGGTCCTATCCCCAGAATTAATGGTTGAACTTCTGAATTTTCAAAAGGTACGCACGCAGCTATGATAGTCACTAAAGTACCTAACGTACCTAGAACAATTCCGACAATAACTAGAACATCAGGATTGCTACTACTCGCAGCATTTGTAGTCGATTCTCCTCCTCCTGATTCTTCTTCTATATCGACTGGCCAATCTCCATATTCGGATAAAAGAAGTCTTCTTCTATGAGAAGTGATCCATCTTAGTCGTTGAGAGACCGGGCTTAAGGCACAGGTAGGTAGCCTTTGGATATGTCTAGGCGGTGGAAGTATTGGTCCATTTCCATAGGTGAATTGTCTCCGTAGACAATTCTCACACATAGTCCTTGGATTCAATTCCATGATAACATTATTTATCTACAAAGGAATATTTTAAAGTATTAATTAAGTAAAACTTGAGTAGACAAATCCTTTAAATATTAAATTTATGAATTTTTTTTTCCATTTAATTTTATAAAAATATAATATTATAAATATATTTATGACATTTATTATTATTAAAAGACTATGATAAGACGTATGTGTTATCAAAATGAGTGAAAATTTAGAGGACGACCACGACACAGATGGATGGCACAAGTTATAGAATAGTGAGAGGGAATAAAGACAGTAGAATAAGGAAAAGATCAATAAATTAGACTAGATTGGAGGGAATTGACCTTGGTGGAAGGCTGAGTATTGTGTTAGATTAGGGAGAAATTCAATTTACAAATTATATCTGTAAAATATTTATGTTAAAGATGATCAAATAATAATAATTTTAAATATAAATTCCATTATTATTATTATTATTAAGAACACAAAACACGTTTCATACAATTTAATATGAGCTAGAAACAAGTTCAAAAATACATTTTAAAAATTATTTCTAAACTATTTTACTAATGTTTATTCAGTATGAATCTGTATTTAAAGATGATCGTTCACTGAAGGACATAATACATGTGTATGTTTTAATTCTACTGTACATCATGCAATTGTCCTATTAGCCTACGTTTTTTGAATTTTAGTAGGAAAAGTTTATTTTATTCACAAAAAAAAAGAACTTTATAGATTATTCAGTTTAAATACACTGTGATGGAAAAATTTCATTATTTCTTGATTGTTTATAAGTTTAATATTTACTTTAATTGTATGATAAAGTAATCCGAAATAATGTCAAT